GCATCAAGTAACTCTTGTTGACCTCAGGTGGTACCAGGTAGAAGTGGAATCCACAGGGGCTTCTTGGCGTGTAATCGTTCCAATCCACCAGGTGCTCCACTGGAGAAAGAGGAGTCTATCTGCTCCCCTAAAGATTTGCAGCCTTGGACACCCTGCGCAGGGGCACTACATGTCAGAACTGACTTGGTGACAAGAGATTTGGGTTGGAATCTTTACTGAAATCCCAAGCCTTTTTCCTGCAGAGCCACTGGCTAGATTTGAACCACCAACCTCTAGGTTAATAGTTGAGTGCCAACCGTTTGGGCAACCCAGGGAACCTTATGTTGTAGACAGATATGTTCAATCCTGTTGCGGCGTGCCATCAAGTCAATTTTCACCTCGTAGCAACCCTACTTGACAGAGTAGAATTGCACGCAGGCTTTGCTAGGTGGCAATCTCATTCTCTTTCTCTCATACTGCCCCCTTTGTGGGGAACATCCTCGTTCCCCACCATCGGTTGAACTTCTCCGTGTCCTTCAAATTCCAGGTGAAAAGTCGCAGGCTCCAGGATTGTCTTTCTTGATTTTTCAAGAAAGCTGCTACATTCTCCGTCTGTAATGTTGCTATCCTTTGTCCCCAGCTCTGAGTTGGAGGCTCTGATGTATGAAATGTATTGGCTTGTATGTCTGCCTACCCTCTTATTCATCATGATGTCCTCAGAGCTTAATGTGAATACAAGAAAGGGTGCAAGAAATAGAGGTCAATTTAGGGCAGAATAACTTGTATCAGGCCCCAAACACAATACTCAGGACATATATACCACATTGATTTGCTCAGAGGGTGGAAGGCACAAGACAGAGGAGCAGTCAGAGAGGAAGTTCTAGAAAACATGGATCTGGGAAAAGGGGATTTAGATCAACTTTAGTTCTTTTCTTTCTGTCAGTCAGTAGTGTCATCTGATCCAATGTCTCTTTAAAGGGGACAGGAAGGAAGAGAGGCCCATAATATTTGGGAGTTTTAAAAAGTTCCTGGGGAAATTCCATTTTCTACAAACTTTCAGAAGCCCCCCCCCCCCACTCCCAGACATAGATATCATTTTACAGGGCAGAGGGCTGAATGACTTCCTTACAGATTAGCAACTGGGCCATAATCTTGGGACAGGGATGTAGGATGGTCCATATAACTACCCTCGTAGACCTTGGGTTTGGAAATGAGAAAGCTACTGCTTGTGTATCCTACCAAATGTGACAGGGAGCATGCCGATACATAGGTAAATGGTGCCATATGGGAAGGGAGGAAGGAGGCATTTAAGGAGGGAACAGGATGGGGAGAGAGAGATGTTGGCATCTGAGCTGGGCAGAACATTCCAGAAAGGGTTGTGTGGCACTCAGGTCTAAGTGAACTGAATTCTTATTTGTGCATCTTGCTCTAGACTCCCTGATCTAAATCCGAGGCAGATGTGTTCAACAACCAAACTAAACTCTCTACCACAGATTCGATGCTCACTCACAGCGACCCTATACAGCAGGGTGTGAGTGTCCAATACGCATTCTTTAGGGGAGTAGAAAGGTCTGCTCCGTTTTTCTCCCTTGGAGCAGCTGGTGGTTTCAAACTGCGGACCTTGTGGACTGCAGTCCAACACATAACCACTATGCCACCAGATCTCCTCATAGATTCAATATTCATCCCTAAAAGGAACACAGAGCTCCATGCATAGACCGCCAGGAGTCTGAAATTTCTTTTCAGTTTCAAGAGGTAATCTCTTTAGATTAGTTGTATGTTGCAGACTACCCAGTTGGGGGCAGACAAAACAAACAGATGATTTTTGAATGCTAGCAAAGGAATCCTGCATCTCCTTACATGTTATTATTTTATGAAGGCAAAGGGCTTTTCAACTCCTGATCAGATCCAGATCACCTGCTCACACCCTCCAAAGACGGAATGCTTCATTAGGCCTCTTTCCAGTGGTCTTTTTGGTAACCACACGGAGAATGTTGTTTGGACATGGGTGGTAGGTGCTGGAGGCACATATTTTACTATACTGAGAAATACATAGCTGTACTAACACTCCTCAAATACTAGGACTGTACAAAGGCAACCCTCGGAATACCAATAGATGACGGGACAGTGCAGCCAGCAAGAGATCACCTAAATTCCTACTTCTCGCCTCTCCCCAATAGTCTTTTCCATCCCTATTTGGGGAAGCTGAGGGAAATCAGACATTCTGCTAGTGTTTTGTTTTTCTCTTCTACCAGAGAACTCAGAAAGATCAGCTCTATTTCAGACCCCACTGGTTCAACTTGCCTTTGAACATGAGATGTAATATTTCAACTCAAGCTCCCAACACCCGAAGAACTGAGGCTTGACTCCATCACTCACTCAGCTGTATAGATTTTGCCAAATATTCTAATTGTGCCTTTTTTTGGAGGGGAGATGAGGGTCTTTTGGGGTTAGCTACAAATTTAAATAAAAGTAAAGTGCCAAATTTGGGTACCCAGCCAAGAATCTATTTGTTGATCTCTTCACACCCTGAACTGTTAAGGTGAAAGGAGCAGGTCCCACAGAGCCCTTAGTAGAAGTCAGGGATGTAGAGGTCTAGGATCTTGCTAAATAGCCAAGTTATTTAAACAAATGTGGCTGGGTGGTGTGTTCACTGTGATTCTCTTGCAGAGTCATATGCCACCTCTCTGAACGGAGGTTCTCCATTCTCCTCAAGCGGTTTCTAGACTCTGAGCAGTCTATTGCTTTAGCATTTACAAAACTGCTTTGGCATTATGTTATTCAAATGTGTCATCCCATCGGACTGATCTTGTATTTTTAGTGCCCAACATATATTTTGGCTCATAATCAACAAAGCAAATCCACTGTCATGGAGTCAACCCCAACTCATAATGACCTTCATAGGGATTCCAAGGCATAAAATCTTTTTTAAAAATTTACTATTCATTGGGAGTCAACACATATATCGTACCATTCCATAGTTCCATCATGCCAAGCAGAACTGTACAATTGCTACCACAATCAGTTCCAAAACATTCTTTTTCTTCCTGGACTCCTTGACATCGTCTCCTTACACTCCATCACTACCACTGTACCCTGAAACCCTTATGCTACTTGCTGTCTGTATAGTATGCTGTAAATCTTTATGGCAGCAGACATCATCCGTTTTCTCCCCTCTAACACACAATAGATGGTTAATAAACTTCTGCAAACTTGAATAAAACCAGCCACATATGTGTATTATTTGCTTCAGCCAAATAGGCAAGGGGTTCCATGCATTAAAGATTAGTGACTCGTATTTAGGGGAGTTACTCAAGTGTTTCAGGTAGAGAGTGAAAACAATGAAAAATCATGAATAAAGAACAGGTCCGAACTAGAGAAAGTCTTGGTATATGGCATACTTTTCTCTTCCCAGAAAGGTAAGAGTGCCCCCAAAGAATTCCTGTTCTACAGGGAGGTGATTCTCAAGCATTCTAGTGTGAAGACCCCTGTGATGGTTTTAAAAATATGTACACAAGTTCTTTAATACTCTTCCCTTCAAAAAGCAAGGCCTAATTCCCATCCTTTGAGAGTCCCACCTTGATTGAAAAGAGTATGGCAGAAGTGATAACATGGCACTTCCAAGACAAGGTCATATTTAGTATTACAGTTTCCTCCTTGCATCTCTTGTCCTTCCTTGAGTCCCCCTTTCTGGGGAAGTTACTTGTAATGTCATAAGAACAGTCAAGCAAACACAGAAAGAGTTTTAAGTGGTAAGAAACTGGAGATTGTCCAACAACCAACACTAACTTGCTAAAAGTATAAATGAACCAACTGGGAAGTAGATCCTCCAGTCTCAGGCAAGCCTTCAGATGATTCCAGCCCAAACCATTAGCTTGGCCACAAATTCACTAGATACTCTGAGAACCACTGCTTAAGTCACTATCAAATTTCTTCCCGAAAGAAACTGTGAGACAATAAATAGTGGTTGTTTTAAATCACATTTTGGGTTGATGTTTTAAATGCATTAGACAACTAATGGAACCCTGGAGGCCCAGTGATTGAGAGCTTGGTTGGTAAGTGAAAGGCCAACAATTTGAATCCACTGGCCACTTACTGCATGGGAGTGTAGTGATGAGAGCCTCAGAAACTTCTGGAACAGTTCTACTCTGTCACATGAGGCCACTATGTGTGGGAATTGACTTAATAGCACCCATGAGGATAACTTGGAAGTAATACAACTCTGGATTTTTGCAGTTTTAGACATTAAAGCTAAGAAAAAAGTTTTAAATACGTATTTATTACTTCATTATTAAACAATACAGATACAATAGAGATTAACGTAAATGGCATTTTTTATTAAATACTTTTATTGAGGGCTCTCACATCTCTTATCACAATCTGTCCATCCATTGTGTCAAGCACATCTGTACATAAGCTGTCACCATCATGTTCAAAGCATTTCCTTTCTACTTGAGCCCTTAATATCAGCTCTTCATTTTGCCCCCTCCCTCAAATGTGAGAAGTGACATTGTTTTGCATTTTTGCAAAATACTTTCAACAGAAGACAGATTCTCCTATCTGTTACTGAGTTTAACTTGTTATAAAATTTTAAGTATGTTTAAGAAACAAAATCTGGTGTCACACAGGTGTCCTGCCAGAGTCTCTGGGGAACTCAGCATTGTCTGCCTCACTGTTAGTAATGGAGAAAGTTATGGAACTGTGAGACCAGATTTTAAGTAGAAAATGTTTCATTTAATCAAGTAAAGATTTGAATAGGTAAGTCCACTCTACCTTGCGTTGCTCTACTAGATATTTACATATGATATAAATGACCTGGATATAATGTTAACACAACATTTCTTTTCTTTCAACACGGACAGAATTTAACTGGCAAAAGACTCTACTCAGAAGAACATGTATTCAAAAACAGTAGCATGTATTTAGGAAACTTCACTCCATTGAGTGTTGACCTTAAAACATAATTGCTAATTGGGTGCTATAATCAGGAGGGGAAAACAAACAAACACAAACCCTCTCACCTTCTTCGGTTGAATAAGGTTTCCTCGTGTTCAACATGAGCAACTTTTAATACTTTCTTGTCAATGAACAGATCTTCAGGATAATAAGCAGATCTATATTGGCGTTGTTGAGTATGGGCACATAACTTGCCGATCTGGAAAGGGGGGGGGGCAATATAATTATACAATATTTTCATAAATAGTAGAAACAAAATCTGAAACATACTTCCATTTCTTCCCCTATTTCTTTTTCAAGAGCAGACTGAAGCTATTACTGAAGTTCTAAAAGGTGATACGCTTTTAAGGCAAGGAGCCATGAAACCTCCAGTGGAAATGAAGGCTACAGGAGAGGGGTGGGGAACGACACTCTGAGCACAGCCTATTGAGAGCTTTCCTAAGATGAAAGGTGCTTTTTTCTATAGCAAAGTGCACATGTGAGAGGACCCTCTACACCGGCTTCATGCAACAGACACCTTTCAATTGCACATTGGTATTACAGAGTATGAAGAATTTCACAAAAGGGAATTGCAAAGTTGAGGAAGAACTGGAGCAGGGCAATGAGGTGTGTATGGTGGAGTCTGTTCATAAAAGAGCAGTCTCCTATGCACCCAGCACTCCCTAGTCTTATGGCTTTTTTTGGTATGTCTCCATGAAGGGTATTCGTAAAAAAAGTCAATGCCGTTGTTCATTCATCTGACTTGCTTTTTTTAAATGTCCAAGGAAATGAATATAAGGCAGGTCAACTACCCAACAGCCAGTCATCAATTATGGATCACAGACCACCGAATTAACTCGGAATTTAGAGTATTAAAGAATGTGGGTACTTCTTTCCTCTCTCCTTCCCCCCCCCCCTTCCCCTCTTCCTTTTCTACCTCATTCATTCATTCAATCAATAATCTTTCTTGGAGGCTTCCCTCTGAAGTTTGTTTCTTTTATACTTATGCAGCAATAATGAAAAACAAAAGACATCAGATTTCTTGCTTAACTAATTTCTTCCATTGGAGTCTTTGTACATTTGCTTTACTTTTCTCATTTTCAGACCAAAGCCTAAATCAGTTTCCATATGAAACTCAAAAAACCTCATTCAATGCCCTCAAATGGATGCTCGCTCAAAGTGACCCTCTGTTCCCAAGCCTGTAATGGTTTATGGGAGTAGAAATCCCAGTTTTTCTCCCTTGGAACTGCCACGCTTACGTATCACAACCCAACATGTAACCACTGTGCCACCAAAGAAATATACAATTCAAAATTCTTATAGGCCTCCCTTGTGCTAGCCACTGTGCTAGATATTATGAGCCTAGTGTTACAGACGAGGAAATTGCAATTCAAGGGGGTTACATGACTTGGCATTGGATTCCGGACTTGAATCCACTTTTTTCTCTTTGCATCCATTTATCTGACTTTGAGCTTATGCCTCCCTAGAAAATGATACCGGATTTTCACTTGCTTACATTCTACATGGGGCTTTGGACTGGTTCCAAATGATTCAGTAATTGCTCTTGCAAACAAGGGCGATGAATGAATTATATAGCAGCCAAATCTGCTGACCTGTGGTATTTGTCCCCAAGTAGGAAACAAAGAGCTATGCTCTGATCCAAGATGGTGGGCAAGCACATTGCTTTGACTGTGTGTTGCTCTCCAGACTCCTGTCAACAATGTTGATTTCCAAAAGCCTTGCCACAGTGCTTCTACCTGCAAGGTTCAGGAGCCAGATCCAGGGGGTTGGATTACTGGAAACACTCCGAAGACCAACACACATTCAAAGCCATGGGGTCCATTGCCATCTTTGAGCAGAAACCTTCATCTTTTTCCCATGGAGTTGCTGATGGTTGTGAGCCACCAGCCCACTCATTAGCCACCCAACCCTGACCCCACTGTGCCACCGCGGTTCCTGACTGGTAATTAAGCTACGTAGAAATACATAGTTGGGGTAGTGGAAGTAGAGTCGCCAAGGATGCATGGAGGAGGCAGATGGCTGCTAACTCAACACATAAGTGTTGTTTCATTTGCATCGGGTTGAAAAGATTTTCATAGAAATACCAAAAACCAAACTCCCCGCCATCGATCAACTCTGGCTCACAGCAACCCTATGGGACAGGATAGAACTACCCCCTCTGGGTTTCCAAGACCACAACTCTTCATGGGAGTTGAAAGCCTTGTCTTTCTCCCGCAGAGCAGCTGATGGTTGCAAACTGATGACCTGAGGTTAGCCTCTAAACAAGTAACAACAACACCATCGGGCAAGAAACAACAACACCATCGGGCTATTGAATTAGACCCAAAAAAAACCCTAACGTCATCCCCGTTTATGAAAGATAGCAACAAGAGTTTGATATTCAAGCTAGCGTTTCTTAATGGTTTAGATTAAATGGGGAGGAAACAAAGGCAGGAGACACTTTAAAATAAACACTTTAAAATGTCCCATTTGGCTTTGGGATATATGGTGGCGAATGTTTGGGGGTATGCCATTTGATTTGGGCTAAAGCTAAGCTTCACAGGAGCCTCTAGGGGTGCCCTCAGTGGTGGCAGTCCGGTAGGAGGCTTCAGGCTCTGAGGCTGCCAGATTGGGGGGGGGGGGGGGGGGGGGGGGGGGGGGCGGGGGCGGCGGGGTTCAGTTCCGTTCACTCCAATGCATAGCCTGCAACTCCCAATACCTGAGTCAAGATTGCACATCATAAATGTGGGCTCAGAAACGTACACATTCATTCTGTGCTGAAATATAGGTGGCATTTTCTGAAACACAAACTTGATCTTTGCCCCACCCCACGCATAAATTTCTATGTATTATTCCACAAATATATATCTGTGAGAATTGATTTCTACCGGGCCCAAAGCATTCTTAGGCAGCACATTCAGGCGTACGGGATACAGTCTCTTGACCTATACTTGGTCCAGCTCCATAAGCGAAATCACATGCTTTCACACATCCTCCACTTCCACTTGCAAACTACAGCCGTGAAATCTCCCTCACCAGTGAAAGGCCACTTTCTGCATCAATGAATACTGGTCTGGCTGAAGCAAGACCCGAACGTTTTTTAAGTCCCCAGCCCCAGGGCTCAACCTTCTGGAAAGAAGTGCAACTGAGGCAAAAGTAGGGAGTTTAAGAACAAATGAGAGCCTAGCCTTCTGCTGGTGGGCCGCCAATATCTTTACTCCCCCATCTGCAATGCCCCATCTCTTAGTGGACAGGCTGTATTTTCTGCCACCATGAAGCAAATTCTTCCATTCAGAAAGCATGGGTCACAGGTCAGGCCCCACTCCCCACACCATTCACCCCCAAACTGTATGAGCTGAAGGTGAAGTTGACTTCCAGAGGAGATGCCCCAAAGAACATTGACGGAGGGGACTGCAGCATTCGCATAGAAGATGTCCTTTCAGCATCATACTTTCAGCTCTGCCAGGAGAGCTGGGTCTGAGTCTCCAACCACACTTGCTGAAGAAGCCAATCTCCCAAGTGGCCTTTTAGAAATCAGTACCTGGTCCAGGCCTTCCTAGCACTTAAATAAGAAGTGCGATCCAATTTCTTCTCAATTGTATCTAGTCAAGGATGCCACTATCTTTAAATTTGGTTAGTTGGAGTGAATTTATTGAATAGGCGAGTGTCTGTAGCAATAGGTTTGAAATAAAAAAGCACCTATCTGTTCACCTCCCTGAATCATGTTATCTTTAAGTGCCAGAGCCCATAGCCCCAAACCCAATGCCATCAAATTGATTCTCATTCAACATGACCATACACAGGGTTCCTGAGATTAGAAATTTTTATTGGCGCATACAGCCTCATCTTTATCCCAAGCGGCAGCTGATGGGTTTGAACCACTGACATTGTGGTTAGCTGCCTAATGCCTAACCTACAGTTATGAGTTGGGCTGTGATCCACAAGGTCTGAAGCTTGAAACCAACAGCTGTTGAGGGAGTAAGATGCAGCGATTTACTCCTGTAAAAAGTTACAGTCTTGGAAACCCACAGGGGCAGTTCCGCCCTGGTCTAGACGGTCACTATGAGTCAGAATTGACAGGATGGCAGTGAGTTGAGCACAAAATATTTAATCTGATGAAATTCATGCCTGCACCTCATAAATGGCCTATCAAGGAATACAGATATTCCATTGGTCAAATCATTTTATTCACTCTCAGGTCCCAAAGACAACTGGTTCTGGAACTGCTCCAGTGAAAGAAAACGTGAGAAATCTTTCCATCCATATGGCTGAGCAGAGAAAGAGAGCCTATATTGTAAAATTCTCCATAACACTAGTGCTTCACAACTGTAACATACCTTACTCCAGCCAAGTGTTTCATAAATAATTCCTATATCCATTCTCCATAGGGAGCCCTACAACATTCTTTGGAAGTATACAGAACAGGTACTGTTAAACTCATTTAGAGAAAAGGAAACTGACACCCACAAAGGCTGAAGGCCTTAAGTAAGGTCCTAATGCAAGCAGATGGCAAAAGTGGAGCTTGGTCTATCAGAGTCTAAAACCCACAGTTGTACTTTGTACTGTTTTGTTCCCCGCCACCTCATACTTTGGACTTCAGAGAGAGCAAAGACCCTTATTGGATGGGGCTCAGTGTTGGACCCTGTGAGCACACCGATGACAATTAAAGAATAGGGATGGTGATGGGAACTTCAAAGGGATATGACAAAGAAGGGAAAAGTTATTCCAAGATTATCAGAAAACTGGCATCTGATTTTCACTTGGGTTTCAGGTGGTAAAGGCAATAATGGAATGATTTAAATGTGGAGAAGAGATGGAAGTTGACAAGGATTTTGTCTTGCTTGGATCCACAATTCATGCTCATGGAAGCAGCAGTCAAGAGATCAAATGACATGTTCCATTGAGTAAATTTGATGTCCAAGACCTCTTTGTATAGTGTTGAAAAATAAAGATCTAACTTCGAGGACTAAGGTGCGCCTGACTCAAGCCATAGTATGTTCAGTCTCCACATATGCAAATGAAAGTTAACGAATGAATACGGAAGACTGAAGAAGAACTGATGCACTTGAAATATGGTGCTGGCGAAGAATATTGGAAATACCATGGATTGCTTAAAAGGGCAAATAAATCTGTCTTGGAGGAAGTATGGTCAGAATGCTCCTTAGAGTCAAGTATGGCAAGACTTCGTCTTACATACTTAGGACATGTCAGGAGAGACCA